GTGCAAATTTGCACTTACCCATGATGACTATGACTTACTGTAGCTTTTCTGAGTGTAAACAGCCAACATGTACTTCAGCGCGCAAACTGTAGATGGACGTTGCTCGACCACCGAATATGACGTCAGCATCACAGAGATCTATTAATCCACATTTCTAAATCCACATTTTAATCCACATTTAAAATAATTTGCGAGAAATTTAGCAGATAAACTTTAAAACACAAATGGACAATTTGTAGTTAAAAAAAATCTAAAATTAAATACCTCGTAAATTTGCGTGTAATACCTTTTAATACTTTTTAATGGCTTTAATTTTTGCTTATGTGATTTACTACCTTTTAATACTTTTTAAAACCCCGCGGACACCCTGCAAGATCATGGTCAAAGTCATTTTACATTTCAAGCACACTGCAGTCCATGAGACAAATCATTTAATTGATTTTTCCACAACACATCAACTTGTTCATTTGTTCATAGTATAAGCCCCTAAAATGTATGGAGTTCGATGTGAACAAAAATAAAAGAGGTAAAGATGCACCTGCTTCTCCAGTATCTCCTTTTGGTCCTCTAGGTCCAGGTAAACCTGCAATGATCACAGCTGATCAACAATGCATATTTTATGAGTGACAGGGTGTGTGATCTTTATCAGATCCATGGCTATTTCAGTGGGCATGACTATTATTCAAAGGCATGTCATTCCATCAGGATTTTGGCTGACTGGGCAGTCCATCATCTTTTAGTAAGACAATGACCCAAATACAGCTTAATAAGTAAGTATCTGTAAAAGAATGACCTGGCCAGCCCAGTCTACAGATCCTACCGAATGTGTGTGGGACAACCTAGAAAGAACAGTCAAAGCAAACCACAAGCACCCAACATCTTCGGGCAACTCCTGCAGAAAAGTTTGGAAGATATCTCAGGTGATTATCAGCAGAAACGTTAACTAAATACCTTATGTTTGTGAAGCTGTTATCACAGAAAACTGGTGGCTATTTTGAGGAATCAAAGACTTAGATACTATTCTTAGGTTTAACCATCATGGTCATGGTCACGGGGATGGCCAGAAAGTCTTTCCCAGGCGACCTCAGGGTCAAAGCTGGGATGCATTTAATTTATAATAATTTAAAATTAGTTATCTGCTAATATTATTGAAAAAAAGTATAAAAAAGGACCATGTTAGCTGAACATTAGCCAATACAGAGATCCTTGGAGATCACTATTTTGGCCAAAAGCACGCCTTACCTGGTCTGAGACTCAGATTGTCCAGTTGGCTCTGCAGGAGCCTGGTGCTGATATTGACAAGATTCAGCTGCTCTTGCAGCAATCTTATCCCTCCCTGTCCTTTGACCAAAGTATTCAGCTCCTCCATGTCTCTACTTAGTGCAGATACATCCAGTGTGGTATTCTTCAGCACAGACAGAACTTCCTGATGGCCTTCCTGACGTAGACTAACAAATTCTGAAGTACTGTTTTGCTGGTGTACACAGGAATGGATTTCACCTTGCAGGGCAAACACTGGTGAAAGAGAAAAATTAGGGCTGAAGCAAATAACTAAAGTAGATGCATAGTTCACATATGCTACATGCAGTATTTGGACAGAAGCATTAGGACACCTGGCCATTACACCTACAGGAACTTTTATGACATCCCATTCTAAATCCATAGGCATCAATATGGAGTTGGTCCCCCCTTTGTAGCTGTAACAGCTGCCACTTTTCTGGGCAGGCTTTCTATTAGATTTTGGAGTGTGTGTGTGGAAATTATTGCCCATTCATCCAGAAGAGCATTTGTGAGGTCAGGCACTGATGTTGGATGTGAAGGCCTGGCTTGCAATATCTGTTCTAGTTCATCCCAAAGATGTTAGATGGGGTTGAGGTCAGGGCTCCATTTGGGCCAGTCAAGTTGTTCCACACCAACTCATCCAATCATGTCTTTATGGACCTTGCTTTATGCACTGGGGCACAGTCATGCTGGAACAGAAAAGGGCCTTCCTCAAACTATTCCTACAAAGTTGGAAGCATGCAATTGTCCAAAATGTCTTGGTATGCTGAAGCATTAAGAGTTCCCTTCACTGGAACTAACAGCCCTTGCCTAACCCCTGAAAAACCACCCTATACCATTATCCCTCCTCCACCACACTTTACAGTTGGCAAATGCGGTCAGGCAGGTAATGTTCTCCTGGCATCTGCCAAACCCAGACTCATCCGTCAGACTGCCAGACTAATTAATTGATTAAACACTTCACAGAACACATTTCCACTGCTCCAGAGTCCAGTGGCAGCATGCTTTACACCAGTCAACGGTTGGCATTGTGAGGCTTGCATGCAGCTGCTCGACCATGGAAGCCCATGCCATGAAGCTCCCGACACAGTTTTTGTGCTGGGGTTAATGCCAGAGGAAATTCAGAACTCTGCAGTTACTGAGTCAACAGAGCATTGGTGACTTTTACACACTATGTGCCTCAGCACTCAGTGACCCCACTCTATTACTTTACATGGTCTGCCACTTTGTGGCTCAGTTTCAGTTATTCCCAAACATTTCTATTTTGCAATAATACCACTTATAGTTGACCGTGAAGCATCTAGCAGGAAATAAATTTCACAAACTGGTTTATTACAAAGGTGGCATCCTTTGTAATAAGGTAATACAAGACAGTACCACACTTCAGTGAGCTCTTCAGAACAACCCGTTCTTTCACAAATGTTCGTAAACTTGACTACATGGGTAAGTGCTTGATTTTGTACATTTGTGGCAATGGGTCTGAATGAAGCACCTGAATTCAATGATTAAGAGGTGTGTCCGAATACGTTTCCCCATATAGTGTGTACACACACACACATGCACACACACACACACACACACACACAGTGTAATCATATCTTTTTGGGGACCACTCATTCATTTCTATGGGAAAAATGCTAATGCTAACTATGACAACCTTAACCCCTAACCAGCCCAAACCATAACCATAAGTAACCAAACAAAATACGAGCGTTTTTGCATTTTTAGCTTTTTTCATTGCAGTCACAGATTTTTATAAAATAGAGTTTTCCCATATAGGGATCAGGAAACTGTGGGGACATTTGGTGCCCACAAGATAAGGTATATCTTGACTGCACACGCACTCACACACACACACAGAATAACCATTTCATACTTGCCACAGTTAGAGCAGAAGATCCCCACAAATGTGAAAATTTACAGATAATACTTGGGCATCCCTAACCTCGACCTACAGCAATTTGCAAGCCTGATTGGTAGCATAAAAGTGTATTTATTACCAATTTCTAAGCAACACCACTGTACACTTTGCATGTCTAACCACTTTGTCATTTCCTATCTAGACCTTTTTATATAATATACAAACCATCAAAATGCACTGACAACACTGCATTATTAAAAAGGCAAAATTAATGGTAGTCAGAAGTATAAAAGTTATTTTGACAAACGCAATGTTGCACAATCACAAAGACAGCCTATGACATGTGAGTGAGGCTGGTTGCGTGGCGTACTCAAGCCAAGTTTTTTAATTTTAGATATAGTGTGCACACATATTTACAAATATTATGAACTACCAAATGTATTACACGGAAAAGAAAAGAAATGTACCTTTGTAGGTAAGGTATGCACTGAGACCTGTCAGAAGAATGAGATATGCCGTGGCCACATACTTGCATTTCTTACTGCCTCTTTCTTTTTCCATTTGAAAATCTGGGGGGGAAAAATTTAGCCAAGGTATAGTTTGTATCACTATCTTACACTTGCCTCATTATCTGAAATTTGAAATTTATTTACCTTCGACTTCTGTTCTGATTTGGTCAACTTCTTGTTCAAAGTTAAAGTTAAAACACAGATATTGAAACTCCCTGTATAACAATGATTACATTTCAAATACTTCTTCCCAGTGCCTGACCATGATTTATTATTTATAAGCTCTAGAATTAATCAAAGTTTGTCATATCTAAATTTCAGCAAAAAAAGCCACTTACTGCTGTTTTGAAACTCATAGTGGTCAGATTTGTTCATTTTCATTTCCAGTTCAAACAGAGGGTTGATCTGATTTATCATGATTTTCTTCCCGTTCAGTCTGTCACTTCCATAAGATCATACTGTATTTTTGACTCCGGTCCTTCTTATATACGAGGTCCCCAAGCTGTATTCATATTGCTGAACTGAACAAAAAATCCCCTTCCTCTGCATTTTTTGCTTAGGGTATCTGTTATCAGTAAATGAAAATGCAGAAGTAAGACCAAACATGTGCACATTAAACATTCATATAAATAGACTCAGATTACTTTGTTTTTAAGTACAGAGGCATTATATACATCTATACACAACATGCAAAATCAAACAAGAATTGCCCATTTCAGCATACACAGTGTATATTGCCAAACATATTGCCTTTACACATGAACTTTAATGACACCCTATCTTAATACATAGGCTTTAATATGGAGTTGGCCCACCCTTTAGAGCTTCAACTCTTCTGGGAAGGGTGTCCACAAGGTTTAGGAGCGTGTTTATGGGGAATTTTTGACCATGGTTCGCAGTATCTGCTCTAATTCATCCCGAACGTGTTATGTCAGGTTGAGGTCAGGGCTCTGTGCAGGCCAGTCATGTTCCTCCATACTAGACTTGCTCTTCCGTGTCCTTATAGACCCTGCTTTGTGCACTGGTGTGCAGTCATGTTGGAACAAGAAGGGGCCATCCCCAAGTTGTTCCCACAAATTTGGGAGCATGAAATTGTCCAAAATGGCTTTGAATGCTGCAGCATTAAGAGTTCCTTTCACTGGAGCTAAGGGGCCAAGCCCAACCCCTGAAAAACATAATTTCATGGAAGCTGCTTTTGACAGCATATACATTAATTTTCCTTTTAAAACCAGTATAAATACAGCAGATAGATGCCCACTGATGCCATGCTTCAATGGAAGTTTATGTAAGATTCTTGTACGCTTTGTCTAAATGGAGAATAGACAAAAGCTTATTATGTGTTATGTGTTTTTGGTGCCTGCCAGGATACCGTGCTTCATAGTTTTTGCTTAAGCAGCGATTAATGGATGGATAGACTTGTAGTCACATATTTCAGACTCGGCTGGAAGCCAGACACAAAACAGGATTAACTACCAAAAACATTAATGTTCATGACTTTCACTTGGTATCGGCTGTGTTGTTTCACACATTTTAATAATCACTATTGGTAGGGGTAGCATACGTCCGGTTGTAATGGTGCAACCCACATGACCAAAGTTACAGTGGAGTACCAAGTGGAGGAAAAGGTACCAATTATCAATATACAGCCACTCAGTATCATCACACAGCATTTGCAAGGCTCGTTTACTTTAAAAATTAAATTAAAAGGGCAAAATCCGCTTTGAATTGTCTGATATTGAAAATCATCTCCTTCTTCCAGGAGCATTGAAGGGTCAGATTTCTTATCTGTATGGCTCCCTTTTATCAGAAACCTCTTCACCTTTGAATCCTTTAAGAAAGGTTTGGGAAAAGGATATGGGCCGATCATTTACTGATGATGAATGGCTCTCTATATGGTAGGAGGTTTTTCATAAATCAACCTCAGTTTCTGTACATGAGCAAAACTTGAAATTCATATATAGAACATATCTCACCCCTGTACACCTCCACAATCTGTACCCAAATGTATCTCAGTTGTGTTTTAAATGTAATTCAAAAACGGGAACATTGATGCATCTATTCTGGGAGTGTAAGAAAATAAACATTTTTTGGTATGAAGTGCATGATCTGGTTGAGAAAATACTGGCTAGAAAATTTATTATGTCTCCAATTATATACCTGTTAAATTGTAAAATATCACTAGATCTTTCTTCTGATTTAAATTGTTTACTAAATTTCATTACTGGCAAAGAAATGTATACTTATCTTATGGTCATCATCTTGTGTACCAACTTTAAAGATGTGTTTGTCACAAGTGGGTAACCTTCTCCCATTTGAAAAACTTACATACCACTTACAGAATAAATCTGAACGATTCTGGCGGATATGGGCCCCTTTGTGGGATCTACTTGATCATGACTCTTTCTTTCTTTTATGCTTTCTTTTAATGAACTGTTTTGCCCTTGGGTCTTTCCATGTTCACTCTTATATTAATAGATTACTGTTTGTTTTTAAATGATTTCTGTAGGTGTCGACTGTATATTGATTTGGCTCTGTTTTTTTTTTCCCCTGTTGTTAAATATCAATAATAAAAAAAAAATTATTAAATTATTTTTAATTCAGACTATGTTTAGTTGCCTAGAATTCATTTAAAAAAATCTTTAAAAAAACGCTCTGTAATAAAAAAAAATAAAAAATAAAAAATTTCTTGCAGGCTAGCTGCCACAGCCCAGGGTCATCACGGACCTCGGGCTGAGACAGCCAGTAAAGCACCTCGTCCAGCAGCTTGAGGCGGCTGTCCTCAAGCTGCGGAGGTGCGCTCGGGAGATCAGTCATTCTGTCACGTTGCGCGGTAGGCGGACAAGCAGGAAGTCGAGTGGAGCCGGGGATACGGACAAAGGGAGTTTATTCCGGGGCAGACTGGCAACAAACATCGAACATGACACCACAATGACTGATCTGGGGAAGACTGACTGAGACTCGGACTAAATACACAGGACAGGTTGGAATTAACTAGACATAGGTGGGAACAATCAGGAAGTAACATGGGGTAATGAGCATATCCCTACGTGTCACATTGCCCACAAGTGTTAACCCATTGAACCCTATCCATTTTTGAGCATTTTTCTATCCCTTTGATTTTAGGCTTATTACATTATATGTACATGGGTTAGCCAAGTGCTTTATGGTTTTGTTTTCAGGACATTCTGGGTTACTCAGATATGTCATAATTTCATGTGTAAATGCTGACATAGTCGACATTATTCTTCTTATGAGGAAAAACTACTTGCACGTACTGAAATTTTTAACATTTTTCTCATAAAAATTTGTAAACTATACAAATATAATCTTATAAATGTTGAGATTAGAGTGTCTATGGTGTTGGGATACAGGGGTTTCATTGATGACCTTCCTATGGGTTAGTATTGTGAAGGAATACATGGTTAGTGCCAGGCATAAATGAATTTCTTCAATTTTGCATCCATATGTGTAAATTGTTGAAGTTATCTGATAGACAGCAATGCATGCTTATATATATGATATATATATATATATGATATATATAAGATGCAAAAGCCGCTAAACACCACCTCCATCAAAAATGAGATGTGTTGAGTAAATGCTCTCCACACGTAGTATACGTAAATCAAATAATTTTGCTTCAAAAACCACTAAATACCACTCTCCGCCTCGTCTGAAATATGGATTTGTTGGCAAAATCCTCTAAAAACCACTACCCTTTCGCGCCAAAATCCTGTACATTCCGAGAGCCAATCAAAACGCATGATCGAATCATGTGACTTCAAGTATTTTCACCGCGCTGAGGAGTCGGGTTTACGACAGCATAGATGAGCCTGTCCTAATGACAGTAAATGGACAAAGAAAACGTCATCGCCCTCAAAACTCTGCCCGTTATAAGGCGAAAGGAAACCGATACAGTGGAAATGACTTGGTCACAAGTAAAGCATGCACTCATAAGAATTCATCGTGCGCTGCTGTTACTCTCACGGAAACAGACTTATCATACATCAAACAAAAGCTGTATTACACCTGCGATAAAGTCAAACAAGATGCCATTATTCTGTCTCATATGGTTGTTATGCCGTGCAAACGGAGGCGGCAACAACATTATAAAAAACGATTCAAATTTCAAGCTTTTTGCACATTTTATGATGGTAGTGGGCATTTTTTATTCAGATTTATTTTAATGTTTACAAACTTAAAGAAATACTTTGTTCTACTTGAATCTGATCCACAAACATCAGACAGGAAACAGCTTGTTGAAGTTTTATTAATGTCAGTTTAATGTTACTGAATGTTTGCCTTCATTCATACTGGGCAAAAGAGTGACTGCAGAGAAATTGAGTAGGATGAGCTCATGATCAGAGGTCCCATCCAAAAATGGGTATGGAACATGGGTATGAGTATGAACCTACCCCCCCC